AGGTAAAATTGCCGAGTTAAAAACAATATTAAACTAGTGCTAATTGTAACGGGGACCGTTACAGATGTTCCCCAAACGCTCCCCAACTCCCTTTTGGTGCCATATTCCCTGTAAGCTTCATTGAATAAGACAAACTCGATGCATTTAAGACTTTAATAACGTTTACCCAGAAGTGTACCAAGTTCATTCAAATTTTGCGTGCGCATGTGAATGCTTGTGCGTAATGACCATATCATCTTGTCTACACAATCTATATATTTTAATATACTTAACATTAAAGTATTTAATCCAAAAGTATTAAAAAAGATACGCTCATTCAAGTGTTTTTTTGATTTTGCTCATTTCACGTGCACGCACGTGCATACATGAGCATGGTGACCATACCTTCTTGTAGATGTCCATTACATCTATCTATGTTCTAAATCCCACCCCGTTTGGTTGAAAACCAAGGGAGTTATAGCTGTTTAAAGTTTCAGCCAATCAGATTGCAGCGCACATACATGCACGTGTATGCATGTGCATGGTGACCATATTTTCTTGTAGTAGTCCAGTATATCTATCTATGTTCCAAATCCCATCCTGTTTGGTTGAAAATCAAGGGAGTTAAAGCTATTTAAATTTTAAGCCAATCAGATTGCAGCGCACGTGCATGCACGTGTTTTCATGATAATTGCTATATATCATGTTGTAGGATATCCTAATGCATGGCTATTTTCAAAATTTCAAAGGATTTTGTCAAAAAACAAGAAAGATATTGAGACTTTAGTTTCAGCCAATCAGAGCGAAGCGCACGTGCATGCGCGTGAGATCTTGCTATTTTGACCATGTCATAATGTCTATGCTACTAATATAACCTTATAAGTTTCAAAGCATTTCATCAAAAATTTAAAAAGTTACGCCTATATCAATTAAATCGGTCATTACACATGTTGCACGTGCACGCTCTTGCAAGCACGTGCGCGCAAAATGACCTTCGTTCCGCAAATCTACATAACATGTCTACTGACCCTAAAAACATTTCACCTTAGTCGGATGTATAGTTTACGAGATCATTCCCGGACAAAAAAGTACCCAGGAAGAAGAAGAAGAAAAATAATAATAATAATAATAATAATAATAATAATAAGAAACAGAGTAAAAACAATATGTTCCCCAACTTCGTTTGGGGAACATAATAACATAACTTAAACAGGTAACATAATACTAGCAGAGGATTTTATGTATTCATTATAAATTTCATCACTTCCAGCACTTTTGTTATTTTTTAAGTTTCAATACTAAGGAGCGGATCAAAATCTTTTTGCGATAATATGTTTTACGGTGTGACCATTGGGGCGTGTACCATCAAAAACCATCAAAAACACTTGAAAAATTGATCCTGACAGCCACTTCAAACATCAAGCGGCACGAGACATCTCGATTAGCTGTGACGTCACACGACGTCACAGAGCTCGTCGGAGCTTACGGAGACAGCCGAACGTCTGGTTGAAACTATAGATCTAGAGCAATTTCGGTCGAAAAATATTCCAGAGTTATATTTTGTTACTTCGAAAGGTTCCTACAAACTGAAAGCCTTTTATTCTTTACGTTATTTATTTATTTATTTGCGCAAAGGACATTGGGTAGTACAGGAATTCTGGGAATGTTTTACAACAAAATTTGCTTGACGGATGTACAGATTTCTTTCCGAATTTCCTCTGTTCTTACACGCTAGTCTATTGAGCTCGGTGCGCTTGCTATTAATACATATATGTAATCTCAAACTGGTCCACATATATCAAAATCGACTTCATTCGTCCATGTATTCAACAATCACATTGTCTGAAACTTTTGGCAAAGATGAATTACTGTAGATCATAGTAATTAATAAATTGTATAAATACTAGCTTCAACTATTCTATAATAAAGGGACCGATCTGGAATAAAATTCTGTCATTTTTCTTATTAAAACTGTTTGTCAAAAGGATTTGGACACAGATCAAATATGCGAATGAAATTCTATCATTATTATCAATATTCAGACCTATGACAAAAGTTAGTGTCAAAAACGTAAACACGTGGTTAAAAAAAATCTGTGATGATACTCGCTGTCGATCTGCAACGTCACGTCTTTATTATGTTATTTCTCTGTTTTAGTGAAAATGCCATAAGGACCCTTTTCTCATGGGGGCAATCATATATATGGTAGAAAACAACAAATAAAGATTGATATTTTAATGTCATTTTTCCGGGAAATTGTTCTCTCCTATAGGTCAATTCTTGTCTTAGTGAATCAATTGTACGTATTAAACCAAGATTACGACTCAATAAAAGTAATTTATTCTTTATATCGGGCTCAAATTTCAGTGAAGGGTGTTTCCTGTAATGAACGGTGTTGTCATGGTAAAAAAAAAGGAGCACAGTCTAGAGTCAAATGTATTCGGGGGGAAATGGCGGCCTAATTCTTAACTGCCAAATTCTATTATTATTATTTGAGCGTCCCTCTGAAAGCCATTCTGAAATAAGTGTTATCCCTCTTACTAAGTTCAAATATATTCAAACACATGACAGGTCAGATGGTTTTCTTTTGACCTACTTTGTCGTCTATAGAGTTTTTTATTTCTGCTATCAAATTATACTTGCAGGAAAGGATCCGAACATCTTTTTGAGTCAGAAAAAGAAGGCCTTCTATCATTGTCAAAAGTTAAAATTTAAAGTTCAAGGAAATATCAGAGGTAGCTTGAAGGCTCATATCTATTATAAGCAGTTTCTTAGCGCGGTAAAAAAGACAAGGAATGAAGTGTAGAAATCAAGAATCGAAGAGGAAGACCGCGTACGTGTAGTGTTCAAGAAGAGAGGCAATTTATCCGACGGTTGTCTTGGCCGATTTTGACCTCTTTTTTCGTCGGCCGACCAATTTTGTGTCCATCGGTCCTAGTTATAATTTTTTATGCGTCGGTGGCCGATTTCTTCAACTGAAGTTATCCGTCGACCAACCTTCGGTCATCGTCCGACCATCGGCGGTCAGTTTATTAAGTCGGTCGTCCGTCGTTGGACAATAAGGGTGTTTAAAATTTCGGCCGACGGTTAAAATCAAACTGTAGCTCAGAGCTCGATGCTCGGGCGACGATTGGCCGACTTGTGAATATTAAACCTATAAAAGATACATAATACAAACAAAATTTTGATGCATGGATTGATATATATTTTTTGAACGGAAATAACATGAATAATTAATCCGTAAGATATAAAGAAATCTTAAGTATTCTTTGCTGTTTATATATGCACCATTAGTCGTTTTTATGCAATTCCATACAAAATTTTGCACACATTTTTAACACTGAGTCACAATTTTATAAGATTCTGCCACTTTGCGTTGCAAACATTACTCACGTCACCTATCTGAATATAGGTCTACGAAAAAATATTGCTGATTTCTAAAGAAAAAAAACTTTATGTGTTATTTATCCAAGTCATCGGTGTCCCTAGGAAATAATGTGACTGATCCGTGTCGCCCGATGCCGTGTCGGTCGATCCTGTTCTTTCAGCCGACAAGACCAGAAAAAATTAGTCGCCCGACCATCGGCTTAAATGTGACCTAGGCATTAATCGCCTTGCATGGCGGTTACGCTTCGAATGCATTAGGCTAAAAAATCTGTTTCGAAGGGAATATTTTGTGAAAGGCTACTTTTGATCAGTAATAGTGAACAGATTGTTGTTTGGGAATATTTTTATTCGTGAAAAATGATAATCGGTGCTGAAGAGACACAAGAAACACGTCCGAATTTTTATGATAAAAAGTTGGAGGAATTTCGGTCGCTGGAAAGGGATGGATGGATCCGATGAATTGAGACACTTGTCCGAGCCAGTTAATTTGCAATTTGATCAAAAACATTTTACGGTTTCAGTAACTAAAGGCATACTTATCGTAAAACACTGATAAACACGGAGACACTAGCGATAGCTTTACATTGAACTACGAAAACGCTGACGTGTTTGGCAGCTGTTCATGGCATGATTGCGATGATATTTTTCAACAGATTTACACATCTATCGTGAGTAAAATTTAAAGATAAAAAAAAAGTTTATGATTAAAATTTAACCAAAGGTCTTTCCCCAAAAATAAGGATGAACGTTAGAGACTGTGCAGCTGACAAAAGTGAAGAAAAATGTAAACAAACGCTAGGCTCCTGGTTTTCTCTATGTACACAGGTTGAATCGATAGCCCAAAAACTTTATGAAAAACTTGTTTACATTTTAAATAAAATAATTATCATTTTACTTGCTTATTTTGTTCATTTTTATACATGAAAAGCAAGTAGAGCAGGTCATTTTATAATTTATGTACCGGTAGATATTATTGCGCCGTGTGATAAGGTCACGTATTGACCTCTGACCTCTGACAAACTTCATACAGAATTGAAGATATTTTCTCTCTGTATGTTTATATAATAGAGAGATACCACAAATGTATATATTTAAATGTAATTTGGCATGCAAGAAGACTACATAGAGGTACCTAGTTTTCCTTATCATTTCTTTTTTGTTATTTTGATGCATGATGATTCAATGAAAACTAAAATTTAAATTTCTTTAAAATTATTCAAAAAGGTTACTCCACGTATAGTTGCAATCTTGTCGTTAAAAAGAAAAAACAATCAAACAGAATAATTATATTTATTGCTGGTGCGAAGTTGCAAGCACCAGAGCTACTTTTTCCTCCCTTTGTTATCAATAAAAACAGTAAGAATACAGTCGCGACTGCTACTTCTAGATTGCAGATGTATGGGAGAAATTATTAATATTATAATTTCAAACATAATGGTTACATTTTAATGATTAAAAAATAATCATGGATTAATCTAGAAATTTAAAAATATAAGATCTTTTAAATTAAATATTTAAAAGTACTATTCAGATTAATATATTTAGTTTATCATCATGTGAATCACTTAAAATATGCATTTCATTTCAATCCTATGATTTTAATGTATTGCGTTTCTTATGTATGTTGCCCATACCTTCCAAAAACTCATTATTAGTTTCTCCGTATAGCTGCCAATAAGGATAATATATTATTTTCCAAATCCTCCAATTGACCCAATTTCCACTCCAGATAGTCGGGTGATCCGGCCATAAGTTAGCGTGGTAGTACATTCCTACCCCAAGTACAACAAAGACAGCAAGAATGAGGAAACGGATGAGATCTCCCAACTACAAATAAATCACATTGTACCTGCTTTAACCACAATCAAACTTTTAAATTCAAAACATCATTTCAGCAAACTCCTTGCACAAAAATTCCAGAACGTTCTTTGCAAAAAACCTTGAAAACTTTAAAATTGTTTTACTCTTGTATGAATATTAAAATTTGCAAAGAATCTAATCTCTAGAAAAATTGTTAAAATTCTATTTCCGCAAAAATATTTGTCTCCTTTATAAAGAAAAATTGCACAAAGGAATGAAAACATTAATATCCTTAACATTAACAATAGGAAATGCATATTTTTATCAATACCATTAGTGTTTTTTAAACACTTCCTTTATGGTGTATAAAAGTTCTTGGAAATTTGGAAATTTCTTCAAAAACGTATGAACGCTTCAACACGGTTGACAAAAGATAATTCATTAAAAGAATACTAGTATAATGTAAGGTTTACTACTGACCAGTAGAAGAAGGACAAAATAGACGGCAAAGGGATTATTTCTTGAAGGAAAACTAAAAGTGTTAAGTCACTTAAATCATGCTGACTTATTCTATTGCAATATTCATGCAGTTTATTGATTTATTGTCGCAAGATGAGGCTTCTGTCTTAGTAAAAGGTCTGATAACTTCCCGTATTTTAGATTTCGTTAAATTAACTACAGTAAAAATGTCCATAATATAAAACGAATTAAATGACTATCAACAGTAAATAAGCAATACATTGTCACAAAAGTGAATGAAGGTAGATGTTTTATGGAAATAAACACATAGCTTACCATGTCTCTAATCATGATAAGAGTTGGTCCCATTTTTTGGTTCACACGAAAGAATTCAAGAAACCTCAGATACATCACAAGGAGAGACAGTGAGAACAATCTTCTTGCAACAGTGAAATTATTTGATGGATGAAAGTGGCGTACAAACAAGGCTGAGATCGTAAGGCCATAGAATAGAAAATCCACAAAATTCCAGAAGTCGTTTACATGTCGTTTAACTCTTGTAAAATATTTCCGCTGTGAACGACCTCTTCCAGACTGCGGACAACCCTAAAATATTTTAATTGAAAAAATCTTATACACTGTTATTTCAATGTCAAATAAAAAAAATATTTTTCTTGATAAAATGTAAAGAAGGTCAAAATATGAAGATTGCACTATTCTGGTTTTAATTTTGGTATCCTTTTCAGCTCACCTTAGCCGAAAGCTCAGGTAAGCTTTTCTGATCAAAATTTGTCCGATGATTACCGTCTTCCTTGGAAGACGGTATTGTATAGTTGAAGATTTTTACAGTCTTCGGACTATGCACTTCCTCTTTTTTGTGATTGGTAGAAAATGAATGATGAGAAAATTTTCAATTATTTCATTGGTTGAAATGCTGTTCAAGGCAAGGGAGATAACTTTCTGATGATCTAATTTTCGTACGACTTAACAATTTTGCAAGATTTTCAATCTTATAAAAATGACAAAACGAACAACAAAATCAGCAGTAATTAATTCCTAATAACGTGATTTTTTGTATAGCAATAAATAAAAAGATCTCTTTAATTTCATTATAAGTAAAATTTGATTTTAATTGCTTGCAGGCTTTACAATTTGTTATTCTTTTCCCCTTTCTTGTTTGAAGAAGGGAATGGAATCAGCCGAGGTTTGCCGAAAGCTCTGGGCCAGTTTACGGAGATGACCGAGCGACAACCGTGGTAGGGCTAATGCCAGTAAAAAGCTAATGTAGAAATACAAAATCAAGAAATTCAAAAGAATTATACGGCCTGATAGTTGTAGATCAGTTCACTGTTTAAGATTGTTGCTAAAGACGGTAAGCTTTTTTAAAAAGCTCTACTTGTGTCATCGTTATTGTCATCGTAAACTTTTCAGATTTACATATTCTTATGAAGCACTGGGCCAATTTCAACCATACTACCAAAAAGCAGCATTCGGTGAAGGGAATTAAAGTATGTTTGAAGGGCCAGGCCTTCTCCAATGGGAGATAATTATAAATTAGTGAAATATTAATGGCATCTTAAAAAATCTTCTTCTCAAGAGGCACTTGGCCGGGAAAGATGAAATTCTTGTGGCAGCATTCCCAGGTAGTATCAAATAAAATTTGTTTAAACCATGACCCCCGGGGATAGGACGGGACAATCTAAGGTTTACATTGAAATATATTCATGTAGAAAAATATCTATAAAATCTCTTTTTCAAGAACGACTAGCTCAGAAAAGCTGGAAGTTATGTGAAGGCATTCTTGGATAAAGTAGAGTTTAATTTGATCAAATCAAGACCCCGGGTGTAAATGGGGGTCATAGTAGGGATTCCAAGTTTTACACCAAAATATATAAGAAAAATCTTTTAACATTTTTGTTCAAATCAACAGGGGGAGGGGGGGGGGGTAGGACGGGATCTTAATAGAGAATCCACGACTTACATTGAAATTTATGTATACAGAAAAAATATCTATAAAATTTTCTTTTCAAGAACGATTTGGTCAGAAAAGCTGAAAGTTATGTGAAGGCATCCTTGGGTAAAGAGGCATTTAATTTGATCAAATCATGTAGATTGGGGTCATAGTAGGGAATCCAAGTTTTACATCGAAATATATAAAAAAAAATCTTTTAAAATCTTCTCAAGATCTTCTCAAGAACCATTCGTACAGAAGAGTTGAAACTTATGTGGAAGCGTAGTGTAGATTCTAAATTTTTTCAAATCATTATCATTGGTAGAACAGGGCTACAATGGGTAAAACAAGAGGGAAAATCTATTTCAGAACAGCATAGCCAAAGTTAATCAGGTGAGCGATGTGGCCCATGGGCCTTTTGTTCATAAAGACGTACATATCGCAACTGTGAAAAGTTGTGAACAGGAAATGGTAAAAGAATTTTAGCCTGTGTCAATTTCAGTTTTGTAAAAAAAAAATATAAAGTATTTTTTTTTATTTATGTACATATGTATCTTCGTTTACTTTATATTTTGTTACACAAAATCTTTTCATCGATGTATTCCTTGCATTTTAGAAGAAACAAGATGAGATTTGTGAAACACTGATGCCCCTGTATGGCAACATTGGTACAAAACTAGTAAATATGGTGTCGGAAGTTCCTCACGTGCACTTGGTTGCCATGGAGACGGATCCATTGAATTCGGCCATTTTTGGCTTATTTTGACTAAATGAAAACATGAAAACTGAGGAAATGTAAAAGAATATTTATCGGTATTTAATACACTCTAACAGAAATCATTGGATCATATGATAACATGACATTTTAAGGTACACAGGGCATATAATCGTTTATTCTAGGAATATTCCTTCTGTAAGAAAAACGTCATGCAAACTGAGATGGTTTCTAAAAATTTGAAAAATGGAGAGATTGGAATTTTTTGAGATCTTTGAGGCTAAATACGAAAAACTGTCCGCGGAAGCTATCCAAATCTTATATGTGTTATTATACTTGGTAATAAGTGGTGCCATTTCATGAAAAAGCATAAGTGGGCTTTTGCTCCTATTTTTAGTAACGTATCTATAAATAGATATATTTTAGAAAAATGTGAAAAATCAAATTTTGGCAAAGTTTAAATTGTCATTAATGCATAATTAGAATGTATGTTGTAAAATTTGAAATTTTATTGACAAGAGCTGGATACCACTAGCTGGTATGGACAACGGTTGAGGGGAATTCCCATTTCTATTTTTAGTATAAGGTAGCTTAATATAGATATGTCTCTGAATATTAGGAAAAATGGCATTTTTGTTCTAATTGGAAGCTTCATATGAAAAGTCCTAACAAATATAAAGCTTTCTACAAAATGCTTTCAAAATGTACATGTGTTTGATCAAAAATTGCTACAATATTGAGGATGGACTATTGATTCATTTTATGGCAACAATGGTCTAAAAATAGATTACTCGAATAGTTAAGAAAATGTAGATTATTGCACCTTTTCAGGCAATTTTTAGATGTAGTTGCTGCATAATTAGGAAATATTTTGTAAAATTTTAGATGTAAATGACAGGATCTGGATACCACTAGCAGGTATGGATAATTGATGAGGGGAATTCCCATTTCTATTTCTAGTATCAGGTGCCTAAATATAGAGATGTCTCTGAATATTAGGAAAAATGGCATTTTTGTTCTAATTGGAAGCTTCATATAAAAAGTCCCTACAAATATAAAGCTTTCTTTAATATGTTTACAGAATGTACATGTGTTTGTACAATAATTGCCACAATATTGAGGATGGACTCTTGTTTCCTTTATGGTAACAAAGGTCTAAAAATAGATTACTCGAATAATTTGAGAAAATGTAGATTATTGCACCTTTCCAGGCAATTTTTAGATGTAGTTGCTGCATAATTGGGAAATATTTGTAAAATTTTAGATGTAAATGACAGGATCTGGATACCAATAGGTGGTATGGATAATGTTGAATGGAATTTCCATTTCTATTTTTAGTATCAGGTGGCTAAATAAAGATATGTGTCTGAATATTAGGAAAAATGGCATTTTTGTTCTAATTGGAAGCTTCATATATAAAGTCCTAACAAATAGAAAGCTTTCTATAATATGCTTTCAGAATGTACATGTGTTTGTACAATAATTGCCACAATATTGAGGATGAACTCTTCCTTCATTTTATATCAACAATGGTTTAAAAATAGATTATTCAAATAATTGAGAAAATGTAGATTATTGCACCTTTTCAAGCAAATTTTAGATGTAATTGCTGCATAACTAGGAAATGCTTTGTAAAATTGAGATGTTAATGACAAGATCTGGACACCACTAGCTGGCCAGGAAAAATAATGGTAGCGGGGAATGCCCATTTCTATTTTAAGTATCAGGTGCCTAAATATAGAGATGTCTGAATACTAGGAAAAATGGCATTTTTCTTCTAATTGGATGCTTCATATAAAAATGCCTTACAAATATAAAGCTTTCGACAGTATGCTTCAGAATGCACATGTTTGTACAATAATGCTACAATATTGAGGATGGACTCTTGCTTAATTTTATAGCAACATTGGTCTAAACATAGATTACTAGAATAATTGAGAAAATGTAGATTATTGCGCCTTTTTAGGCACTTTATAAATGCCATTGCTGCTAAATTAGGAAGTATATTGTAAAATTTGAGATGTTTATGACAAAAGCTGGACACCATTAGTCGGTGTTGACAATGGTATAGGGGGTTTCCCAATTCTATTTTTAGTATCAGGTGGCTAAATATAGATTTGTCTCTAAATATTAGGAAAAAATGGCAGTTTTTTGCTAATTTGAATCTTCCTAGAAAATGTCTTAAATATAAAGCTTTCTACAATATGCTTTCGAAATAAACATTTGTTTGTACAGGAATTGCTACAATATTTAGGACTGGCCCTTTTTTAATACCAACAATGGTCTAAAAAGATTCCTAGAATAATCGAGAAAATATGGGTTATTGTACCTTTTCAATCAAAGTAGGAAAGAAAAATCAATGTTATACCGTTAGTCTAGAAATTTTTGCTGTAGATAAATTTTTAGCAAATTTGCGAGTTCATTGCATTCGCAAAAATATTTTTCTTAAAAATAAATTTCAAATAAGAAAATTTTAACAAAGCAGTGGTTATTTGCAAAATTTTTATACGTAAAAATTATTAAGCCCAATTTTGACCTGAATTCGCAAAATAAAATCGACGTAAAAATTTCCAGATTTACAGTAGACGTTGTGTGACTGACAAATAATTCCATCTATTTAGTGAAATGCACACTATCTGAACGTTGGGCTCTCTTTTTCTATTTATAGCACATCCACTTATATGTAGCAACTTCTCAGCAGAAGAAGAAAAATGACAAAGGATTAAAGGAGTTTCATTGATAACATATTTACGAAATATACTGCTGTATTCAACATGTTCAATATGTCATGAGTAAAATAAAGTTTTCCTAGTAAAATAATCATGTGACTGATAAGTATAAACTATATGTAATATCGGTAGTTACCGTTAACTAACAAGCATAAAAACAATGATGATATTCAGTTCTACTTATATTTGAATTATGCGAAATCAATGAGGA